GCAAACGGGCAAATTCAGCAATACCTTTGGCTTATCAGTGACAGAACAAATTGATACCAGACTTTTAAGAGGGTGGGGAAACGTCTCTCCATAAAAAGAATCTAAATTTACCATCGTGTTAACAATTCTGTAAGACTTTTTGGCAACTCCTAATGGAAATTTCAGGAGCAGATGGAAATATTTGGAAACGTATAGAACACATGAGCCTGCAACATCCATTTTTATTTTCTCATTGGGAGTGTGGAGCGGTTTCATGTTGCCTTTAATTTTTTTTTTTTTTTTTTTTCTTCTGGGTGAATAAACAGGAGTTTTCCGTGTCACGTTTCCTGTTTTGACACAGCAGGGTTGAGCAGAGGGTGGGAAAATCATGTTCTCTTGCTCTCCATCCCCCCTCCTCGAGCCGGGCCACGGATCAAAGCCAGCTGGTGACCACAGCGGGGTGTCCCTCGGTGTGTCCCCAGCCCCCGGAGCAGGGCAGAGCAGGGTGGCTGGTGGTGGCAGTAGGGTCCTGCTGGGCACCGTGCCCCTTCCCAGGGGGGAGGGTGATGCTGAGCAAACCCCCCAACCTGCTGAAATCCCTGGGGAGAGCAGCCTGCGGGGCCGGGGCCGGGGTTATCAGCGCTGGGTAAACACCACCCGGCCAGTATCACCCAGCAGCTTACCCATTCGTTAATTATTAACGAGCTGATGGTTGTGCTCACCCCAGGGCACAGCTGTCAGCAGAGGGATGGGGCCATCGCACAGGGTGGCATCCTGTGTGCCAGGGCTGGGGGTCAGCCCTCCTGCAGGACCCTTCCCCAGGCGCTGCTCGGCTGCAGGAGGGAGCTGGGCACCAGCCTCGGCCAAGCCCCTCATTAATGGCCAGTCCTAATTGTACCAATAATGAGAGGGTGGAAAGGCATTTTCCCAAGCCATGCGCTGTCTGTGTCCCGTGAGGGACAGGCACGTTTCCACCCAGCTCCTGGCACCCTGACGGTGCCGTGGGGCTGTGGGTGCCACCAGGAGAGGGCACGGAGCCACACACGGTGCCAGCCATCTCCAGGGGAGTGGGACAGAGAGCTGGGATGGGGACATGCAGCCTCCGGAGACCCTCCCAGCCCGGCCTGGGGGGGCACACAGGCTCACCACCTCCCCAAGGAGTACACAGGGGCTGTGCCAGTCCCCTCCAGTTGCCCACCACCCCCAGCAAGGGCCAGCGCCTGCAGCTCGGCTGCGTCACCGGGAGCAATGCCAGCGCCTCCGGCAAGGACGGATGGAGTCACCGGGACTGAGCTGAGCGCCCTGGCAGAAGGGGACCAGGTCCTGTGCCAAGCCAGCGGGCTGAGCGCCCATCCTGCCCCCACCCCTCCATGCCAAGGGTGCCCCTGCAGCTCCCCGCTGCCAGCTCTGCTGCAGGAAGGGCCCCTGTGGGTGCTCAGCACCCAGGGGGACACTGCCAGCCCCCCAGGACCACCGGTGCAGGGCATCTGGATGGGTGTTTGTCCTTCCGAGGGGCTACATTAGATGGAGATGAGCTGAGCCGGGCAGTGCTGGGGCTGCTGTGCATGCCCTGATGTCCCCCTGCCCGCCTCCAGGGACAGGGAACCCCCCCAAAGATGCCCCCACACTCCCCACACTCATTTTCTGCTTTTATTAGGAAGGGGGTGGGGGGTGCCCGGGCAGGGATGGGGCAGCTGCCAGCTGTGAGAGGGGATGGTGCCCCCCGAGCCTCCTCCACCAGGGGGAGGCAGCCGGACCACCCACCCCAGCCTGGGCAGGCACCCAGCTGGCCCCCGAGCCCTGGGGTGCTACTGCCGGGGTACCCGTGCCAGCAGCCAGACCCAGCACCGCGGCCTCGCTGACGGGCACAGAGGGTGGCATCGCAGGAGGGACGGGTTGTCCCTGTCCCCATCCTCTCACCCATCAGGGTTTGTGACCCCAGGATGTGCCCTTAGCCATGGGCTGCAGGTTTCACCTCCTGCACCACCAGTATGGGGCTGGGGGGCTCCCAGTGTCCCCAGTCCCCAGCTCCCTGCAGGCACCCAGGGACAGAGATGGGGATGGGACGTGGCAGGGGGACAATCGGGGAGGGATGGGTGGTGGAGAGCAGCCCCGGGACCCCCGGCGCGGGGACCTCCATCTACCTATGGAGCAGGAGGACCCCTCCTTCCACCCGTGGGGCTGGGAACCAGTCCGGCTGCGGGACCCGGCTCTTCCTCGTTACTTCTTCACCTTGATGAGGGAGTGGTAGACGGGTTTGATGATGATGTGGAGGTGCAGGGAGTTGTCGATGAGGTACTCGGAGGTGCGTTTCTGCAGGTCGGCGTGGGCGAGGAAGTCGGCCGCCTCGTCCGAGCTCTGGTGGAAGCTGTAGGCGTGTTTCACCACCACGCGGCCCTGCTGCCGCACGCCCACCAGCACCGTCTTCTGGAAGCTGACGCCGGCAAAGTCGGGGCTACTCATGGCCGGGGTGATGACGAGCCGGGGGCGACCGTCCTCGATCCGCACCGGCTGGACGGCCCCCGAGACCGAGTCCGAGTAGACGGGGCGCAGGCTGACGGGCAGCCAGCGGGGCGAGAAGAGGACGTTCCAGGTCACCCGCTTCCCGGCGTCGTGGCTGCTGGGACCCAGCTGGGTCTGGAAGCTGGTGCTGCGGTCGTCCCGCGCCGGGTTGTTGATGACCCACTGGGAACCCCAGCTGGGGGCGAGGTAGTTGCGGGGCAGGAACATGCTGCAGTTGACGTCGAAATACTTGGCGAAATGGAGAGGGGAGGCGGCGTGGAACTGGAAAGCCTGGAAGAGCAGGTCCTGCACCGCACCGTAGTGCCGCGCCAGCACCGGCGACTGCGCCTGCAGCCGAAAGAGCTGGCTGGGCGCGATCATGGGGTAACGGATGGCACGCAGCACCCGCTTGGCCACGGGACCCTCGGGCTGCCGGCGGCTCAGCCAGCCCTCCACGGCGGTGTAGAGCTCCAGCTCGCTGTGCAGCACCAGGTCGGAGCGCTCCAGCAGCAGCAGCAGCAGCTCCACGCTCACCGAGCCCCACTCGGCGCTGCCCAGGACGGCCGAGAGGTTCCACGCCAGGAACTGGAGGCAGCTCTCCTGCAGCGCCGCGTCCCCGATGCGCACGGCGTAGTGGTACCAGGCCACCACGTGGCCCTGGCTGGACTCGCTGGCCAGGTGGCTCTTCATGTAGTCGGCCACCCCGCGCTGCAGCCCCCACACCCGGTACTTGCTGGCCAGCTGGTGCATGGGGATGGCTTGGTGGAGCAGGATGGAGACCCCCCCGCAGTACAGGTACCTGGAGCAGAGTGCGGGGTGGTGACGCTGGTGTCCTCCCGTTCCCTTCCCAGCCCAGCCCCAGGCTCTGGCAGATCAGTTCCCCAGGGAGAATCCTCCCTCCTGGGCTGTACCCCTCCAGGCATCTCCATCCAGTGATGTCTCTGTGCTCCCCAAGGGAACATCCTCCTTCCTGGGCTGCAGGGGCAGCTCCAGGCATCCCATTCTTTGGGGTTTCCATGGTCCCCAGGGAGCATCCTCCCTCCTGGGCTGCATCCCTCCAGCCATCCCATCCAGTGAGGTCCCTGTGGTCCCCAGGGATCATCCTCCCTCCTGGGCTGCATCCCTCCAGCCATCCCATCCAGTGAGATCCCTGAGGTCCCTAAGGGAGCATCCTCCCTCCTGGGCTGCATCCCTCCAGCCATCCCATCCAGTGAGGTCCCTGTGGTCCCTAAGGGAGCATCCTCCCTTCTTGGCTGCATCCCTCCAGCCATCCCATCCAGTGGGGCCCTTGAGGTCCCCAAGGGAGCATCCTCCCTCCTGCTGTCCCCCTCCCACGGGGTTCCTGTGGTCCCCAGAGGAGCTGCATCCCTCCTGCTGTCCCCCTCCCATGGGTTCCCCAGGTACCTGATAAACTTCTCGAAGAGAGCAGCGGTCTCGGGCGGCTCGTGGAGGGTGATGACGCTCTGGTTGTGCAGGAGGCTCTCAAAGACCTCGCTCTGGAGGCTGAGCAGCAGCTGGTGGGTGTGGAAGACCTTGGCCTCGTTGGAGGCAGCCGAGCGCACCCGCAGCACCGAGTCGCTGCCGTTGCCGTTCTGCAGCAGCTCCTGCAGCCGCTGCAGCAGCGTCAGCGAGTGGTTGATGGTGGCTGCCGTGGCATCACCGCTAAGGTCGGCTTTCTGGGCTGTGGGGAGATGGGACCATCCCAGTGCTGCACCCCAAGAACTGGGAACGGGGCTCAGCCTGGTTAATGGGGGGCTGGGGCAGCCTGGCTCTGTGCACATCCTCCCTCCGCTCCCCCCAGTGCCAAAGGGCTGGCTGGTGCCAAGGGCGTGCGAGGAGGATGAGGGGACACGGGGACATTTGGGAGCCAAAAAGCTGCTTTTTCTGCAGCAGAAGGGGTGAGACCACCATGTCCCGGGCTGGGACGTGCTGGGAAATGGCCCTGTGCCGGGCAGCACTGGCTCACAGCCCGGTCTGCCAGCCCCAATCCCATCCCCGGGGTGGGCAGAGCGAGTCCCGGGCATTGCCCCAGACCCCCCACATCCCAGACCGACACGTAGGGCACATGAGAGCCGGTGGGTGAGGGGAGCAAAGGGCAGGGTCCCCATGGTCTGAGCAGCTTGAGGACACCCCGGCATCACTATGGGTTGGTGCAGCTGCTGCCATGCCTGCTCCCAGTGTGATCCCTCTCCCCTCACCGGTGCCGTGAACCGGCATCTCCTGCCCAGCCACGTTTCACTCCCCACCCCCAGCTTCGCGTGCCAACAGCCCAGACTGCTCCCCACTTGGG